CATGTACTGAGTTCGCCACCTGATATAATCACGAAATAGCCGCACCAGTCATGCAACCACCAATCAACTGCCAGTAGCAAATTCGCACTGTCAGTGAGCAGAGAGCCGAAATGTGTAGTTGTTCTTGCTAGAACTGAAATAAAACAGAGAAAAATGATGGTTGAAGTATACCATCGGTTTCCATCGGGTCCCCAAGGAAGTCTGGGAAAGAATGAACCTATCAGCGCGCAGCAGGCGGTTGACCCAACATGAGATAGGGATTGTGAGAAACAGACAAGTGAATCATGTGCAAAATATACGGACAGTGTCATACCAAAAGAATTGGTGAAGTTTCGGGAGTAGATAGAGACCGCACGGCGACTCCAGGCCCACCCGACACCAATCTTGTTAAACTAACCGTCCACAGAACTAAGTAACCCAAATTCGCACAAGCCAAAGGTGAAGTAAATCTCGCCAGCTCAGTGATGCAATGAGGAAACGTTGCAGTGACATTACTCTATTAATTGTGAACTGTTTTCCGAGAACCCTGCTGAGCTTGATACCCACAAATCGCGATCGAGATAGACTCGCCAAACACATCGACACAGAAATAGCACAACCACTACTAAATACTTAATGGAAACATTGCCATTATCGGAGCACAACTTGATGGTAGGTCGTCATGAGGCAAGGACCCGACGCTGTCACAGCCATTTGAGTTTTCGGATATGGCAGTAATGAGCCAGCACATCTGGATGTAAGTGATGATTTGGCGGAGGACAGGTTCTTGAACAATTGCGCTACACGGGGGTTACTCCGAATCCAACTTGGAATTCCTCACTGCTGTGTCTAGCGTTGCTTACGTATCTTAGTGGCATAGTAATCAAAGCGTCCACCGTTAACCACTATGCCCCGAGTTCCACCCTAGCTCAGGCTATTTCCACCTGATGAGTCCAAACGAAGAGGAAACCGTCGGTCGTGGGTGTCAGTGTTGAAGAGGAGCAACATCGTATAACCTCTAACTGCGCTACGGATTTGTTCGGCGTAACGGGAAAACTACGGATCGTGTTAAAAAGTTAACGTATGCTATCCACCCTGTACACTTCGGGATGAGATGAGAGATCGTCAGCTTAACTGAAATCGTGGGAGCAGCAGAATTAAATTTCAAAATTGTTGCCAAAAAGTAATATGACCCATCACTGAAGTTGACTGCTTGAACCAAGCATTAACAGCGACTGCTTGTGGTCATGCTCCAAGGCCATACCACATTTTGTGAAACTTGCTGAATGTGAACACAATGATAAAGATTGCCTTCTCGATCTGACTATAGCTCTACTCTGCTGAAGTCAGTGTACGTGATTCACTAATCGATGGTCCTTTCAGAGCAATCTAGAAAGCGATTAGAGAGAACTACTTGGAGGCGCAAGGAGCGACAAAACTTGGCAGGAATGGGTAGTTGTGGGCTATAGTAGATCCGGACCTACCACGAAGATCAAACATACAAAAGCATTCTCGTATGCAGCGGACAAATGTCAAGGAACGTCTTTCTGCACTACCCGATTAAGCGGCTAAGCGTAAACGATGGTAGGAAGGCATTATAATAGCTGATAAGCCAAGAAAACCCTGCATCTAAAAATATTACCAAGGGCTAACACTTGCTTCTTGGCACAAACATTATCAAGATCGGGATATCGGCCGTTAGAATCGAGAAGGAAGTCAAGCTATTTGATCATTCGAAGGAAAAACGGTTATTCAACCGGAAACAATAATCTGTATAGGTCAAAGAATCGTGACCAAGCATTCTCGAAATTCTACTTGAACACCACTGTAACTGGAAGATTATGGACCACGGTGTTCATCGGTTGCTGGAAAATAGTTAATACAGTCTCGACACCAAATGGCAGTCTGGTGTCCTGGAAAGAGACCGCGAAGCGTAGTGAGCGCCAAGATGGCCTGTGACACATGGCCAGCTAAATTTGCGGGTAAGCATCTGCCAAATCAAGCTTCGCGATGCACGTGCCCCAGCTGGGCAACCTGAAGAGGTTTGTTGGAAACGCTAACGGATAGCAATTCGGCTCCAGTACAGAAATAGGACTAGTGGAGCAGTCGACACAGATGCGTAGGTCTCTGTTTGATTTTCTGATCATGACGAATGGCACTGTCCAGACGGAATAGCACATAGGTACCAGAACACCCAGGTCGTCCAAATGTGTGATTTCGTCACAAACCAAGAATAGGGGAAACATTTAGAATGTCTCTTGCGTTGAAATACCGATTGAGCTCCGGGTGCCATCTGCAGCATAATTCTCACGAGTGAACGGAGGTCAAGACTGTGTTGGAACAATGAAGTAATAAGTAATGATGTCATCGATTTGGCCAGCTGATACTGCCGTGAGGGTTTTGGAGCCAATCGACCCCGAGCAGATAGAGTTTTGCTTCTGAGTGGTAGCAGAATTCGTCGAATGCAGCACCTCGAAAGAAGACTGAGCAGTACAGCTGCCCGGTTAACTGCACCATACTGCCACAGTTGGCAGATTGGTAGGCCAGCTCCAATGGTGATTTGCCAAATGATCACCAGAATTTAGTGGGGATGATCGTAATGTCAGAGGTAGTGTTCAACTCCAACCTGGCCAGATGAACGTTAATTAGGACATCGCACTATTGACTTGGTACGCACCAAACAGGATCATTTGGCTACAAATTAGACTTGTTTTGGATTTGCACTTGGATCGGAACCTCTTCCTTGAGCTGGGTTTGAGGGGCAGGTCAGTTTTGGCACACTTGGTTGGTGAGTGACCGCAATAGGCACCACGGTGCCACATTGTTGGCATCGGTGAGGGTGGTGGAAGACAGCTGCGATGGAAACCCCACGCACCACAGAATCGGCACAGAGAGCGTATGAACGTCACCCGGTTGCGTTGAGTGAGATGAGCGGACAGTTGCGGCTGCATAGACCCAATCGGGTGAAGGGATATTTTGGATCATTGCAGAGTCACGCTACGGGTTCAGCAGTCTGATATTCCGCGAACAGTTGCTGGAGTGTGAACCTGCTGTTTTGATGTAACTTGAACAGGTGGCACGTCCGAATATCAGTGCTCTTGGCGAACTAAGACCAGAGAAGAAAGCGAAGCAGTGGTACGGGATCTGCGCAAGGAATCCGAGTTGAAAACGTTCGCACTTAAAACAGGATGCCCGCATACATGATAAAGTCGTCGGCATCACGTTTGCCTAACAGCAGAAATTAGAACTGCGTGTTGGACAGTAAGGACTGTTCGTCATATATCTTCGTCAACGTTAGGACAGTTTCAGCAAAAGAATGTGTTAGGTGTACGCCGTAACGGTGTTCCGCTGTCGTGCGACCACAACCAGTCGCACGTACATTGAGTATACCGCGAAAACGCCCACCTCTACGTGGATTCGAACTCGCGCCGCAAGATTACAAGTTCGTTGCCTCTAGGCTACGGGCCGACGGTTTCAGCAAAACTAACCTTCCGGGGCTTGTTCGGTAAAAATAAGATAATATTCCATTGGTGTTTCCGATGCCTAATTTGTTAAGGTGCAACCAGAATTTCTACACATTATCCTGGCAAGTTAAACCAACCGTCCCGATCGAATCAGGAATCGAAAATGGCGATGGCACTGCCAGCAATATGGTTTCCCGATTCAGAAGTACCAACGGAATCTGTTTGAAAGGAAAAACTGCACAGCTTGCCGGTTAGAATGGGTTTCAACTTAAGATTTAGGAGCAGCATCAGTTACGAATCAGCGTACGTGTAAGCCGTATTTCGAAAACGGACCATCGCCACTTTCCCTGCAACTTTCGCTGTTGTTGTCACGTCCTCACTCGGTAAGGTGACGTGGGTGAAAAGAATTGTAATGGAGAGAAAGATGGGAATAAATTGTGTTGGTGACGTGGTTCTGTGCCTGAAAAACACAACGTTCAGACTCGCGAGGAAATGCAGATCACGCCTACCTTAGGATTGTAGTTGCAGAGGCAAATTAGAATCCTCTAGAGGATCATCACAGGCAACTTTGGAAGAATAAAAACAATACGTATGATGTGTGGGCATAGAAAGTCTTTCACATGCGACCATGATCAACCGTAGATGAGTTTTGGTGGGTGGTACCTTAGCGAACGGGTGCTGTCTGGCTTGAAGTAGACAAGAATAAACCCTTCGAATCCGAAGACTGCTGCCTCCCGTGATTAGATTTCGAGGAGAAGAGTTAGCACCTGACGACGATGCCAGAATTGAGTTTGTCACAATGGTGAATGCGCAAGATCATCAGTATAGATTGCTCATATGTACCGCGTAAGAGTAGAAAGAGCAATGAAGAATAACATGTAGGAATTGCAGGCGATCTAACTGCAAGAGTGCGGTCTCCAACCCGAACGGAACCAAAACCTTTCCACAATGTATTATATTTCAGTAACCGCTGACATAGGCTTTCGACGACTGATAGAGCAGGACACATAACTGACGCGATTCGAGACTGGTGCTTGAACGCCAATCAAAAACTAAGCGTGGTTTTAACAATAAATCGGCTACTACCATTTCAGCAAAGAAGTTACATTATTTATCTCATCACAAATACATGAGAATAGAAAAGCGCGACAAGGTAATCGTTGATAGAAAATTAGCGCGATGCCCCACATGGATGGACGTCTATGGTCCACGTTGACCATCGCTGACATAGTAGATGCGACAGTTAGGGTAGCTGCCCGGGTGAACCTAAAGTGGATAGCTGGCGTTGATGTGGAAGTGTGCAGCCTGACTGGACAAGTAGTGCAGAGTCGAAGCTTTTATCGATACACTATGGACAAAAGAACGCATACACAAAATGTGTCTTAAATGCGATGCCATTCAGTTGAAGCAGCTGGTAAAAGCTGCCGCGTTGCACAATGTGCAGCTGGATCTAGGTAAAAAGTAATTGAGTCTAGTAAGGTTGTGAATAGTTGGAGATGGGAATAACAAGAAATAAACAAGATTCACGTCAAATTGAATGTCCGACGGGACACTCACTCAAATGAATACGACGGACGTGCGTTCGCAGATTACGTGGTCGGGAAAACGATTTACCACAATAGCTACATGTGTGCGATTGCTGATCTGAAACAGAAATAGCAAGGGGAAGAACAAGCTGGATGAAAGACGGTTCGGGAATAAAGTTCTCACATTCACTCGGGGTTCTCTGAACAATCCGTAATCTAGGAAATACAGCAACAAAAAAATAGTGTGTACAATCGCACGACGTTGAGTAGCGCAAGAAGCAGAGCACAAAAAGACCGTCATCAGCGTGATCAACAGCAGTACATCAGCCATTCGAGTTGCAGTAGTAGTAGCATCAGCAATCAAATAAATAGATGTAGAGTCAACAAACACATGGAGACTTGTGGATAAGAGGCAGAGTCGACGCATCATCATCATCGCAGCACAGTAGATAAAGGTGAGTAACACACTTCAGCTACCGTACCACAGAAATAAATGAACATGTTTTATTTGTTCACAAGCAACAGATGTTAATTATTAAGCATTAACCTTATCAATCTAAACAAGCGCAAATATATATATATATATATATATATATATATATAGTGTGTATGCAGTTGACTGTATGCTTTTATTGAGACACCTGAGGTGGCTCGGTCATGTGACCCGTATGGATTCGAAGAGGATACCGAAGCAGCTATTATATGGTCAGCTGAGTATTGGGAAGCGGCACGTGGGGAAACCAAACTTACGTTACCGGGACATGATTAAAATGAGCCTCACACGTTCTAATCTTGATAGCAGATCATGGGAATCGAAGGCGGTTGATCGGCATGCATGGCGCGATCTGATCACGAAGGCAGTTGCCGAGGTGCAGGAGAAAGCCCTCATGCATGCAGAGAAGAAGCGGCAAGTGCGGAAGCGGCAAGCACCGATAGGTTGTTCTCTATCGACATCAAGCGCATGGTGCTGTAGAACATGCGGTTGCGATTGCCTTAGGCAGGCTTAGTGAGCCATGAGCGAGGCCACTCGGGACCACCACCGAAGCGACGACGGGTCCTGCAGAGAACGTAGGCAGAACCGGCGCAGCGTGTGTATGTACGCTGCATTCGATTTACTAACCGCGTGCTTGCGTGCCAAGTCTCTTTATTTCAGGTGGCGGGTTTTCAATTTTGTCCTAATGCTTTTCTTTCTCAGATAAATGTCTACCTGTACTCTATTCCATTAACTTGCACACCTCGCTTAAGCCAATTGTATTCGATTTCCATAACATTTTCGTGCGGGTGGCATTTCCGTAAAGTATAGTTTCTGACCTCGTGAACTTAACTAGGATTCGTTTGTAAACATCTTATTCCATATGCTCATTAACTTAAGGGTTATGTCACCGTTTACTTATGCATTAATCGAGTTATTTTCCTTGCATCTCTCTCTGTCTCAAGTGATTGGCAGTTGCTTGATATCCCCAGTGTGGCTGCGCTTGATGTGCATGTTGACAAGGTGCCTACCTGTCTAATACCCACTGCCTCGTCCATATTGTCTCTAGCAGACAGTTGGTCGTTGCTGGAGGGGACGGGGTACACGGTCCTTGTGGCCGTGTTAGGATCAAAGAGTGGTTCCATGCACGCAGTGTGGAGCGGACTAAAGTCTAACCACCGCCTTGTGTGCGCTTGATTTCCAAATACAGCGTGCTTGTGTTTGGCTGTGAAGGAGTGTGAGCCGGCTCCGCTGATGAAACGTGGCTCTCATCCACATGCCTCCCGGTCTTATTCCTTCGGGTTTACACTGGATATGGGGTGTGCTTTTTGAGCTGTGGGTGGTGCAGCGCAAGCCAATCATGGTCCCTCTGTAGGCGCAGGCGTCCTGTGGCTTGCCACAGTGACAGGCAAATCCGAAACCGGATGCCACCAACTATATATATATATATATATATATATATATATAACCAAGAGTTCAAGGTGATCACCTGTGTGCACTGATACACAATAAGGAGTGCGGTTTGGCTCGTTGGACAGAACACTTTCAAGATCAGTTCAGCTGGCCCCTTGCTCCTCCACCTCTTCCTCCTCAAGAAATGCAGGACAAGCCACGGACGGTTAGTTTAGAACCTCCGTCGAAGGCCGAGGTCCAAATGCCGATCACAGCCCTCAATCATTTTCGTGCCGCTGACTCAGATTCCCTCCCACCTGCACTATTTATGGATGGAGGTGAGGTCCTCTGCAAGCTACTGACCTCCCTTTTCGAACGTATCTGGAAGGGAATGTTCTGGCTAATTAGAGCGAAGCGATCATAATGGCAATATACAAGAAGGGCAGTCGCACAGACTTTGCTAAGCACAGGGGATTAGCCTAACGCCAGTTGTGACAAAGTACTGGCCTCGATTCTCGTTCGTCGCCTCACTGTGGAACGGGCATCTCGGATTAAGGAAGAGCAGGCAGGTTTTCGATCAGGACGTGACTGTACAGACCATATCTTCACCTTGCGGCAAGTGGTAAAGCAGCGCCACGCATAACGCAGACCGACAATAACTGTGTTCCTCGGTTTCAAGAGTGCGTTCGATTAAGTGGATCGATCGATCGACTCTGTTCGAAATACTTGCGCGGAAAGAAGTTCCCACGAAATATGTGAACATTCTGCTTGCTCTATACTCGAACACTACAGGCCGTGTCAGGGTCTACGGTAACCTGTTGGATAGTTTTCCGACTACAAGTGGCATTCCTCAAAGTTGCCCGATTTCCCCATTTTGTTCAATTTCGTCGTGGATTCTATCATGGAATGTTCGCTTGTGGAATCTCACGATGTAGGTGTTGAGGTCCTGCCTGGTGAAAGATTAGTTGATCTTGTTTATGCTTGTCTTGCTTTTCGACGATGTTGCTGCTGCACAAGCAACCCTGAATAGCCTGTCTAGCGTGATCCCATTATTTGGTATGCACTTCGCACCTTCAAAGTGCAGTGTTGCTGCAGGATCACCAGCCATTTTATGACCCCTTGATCCTTGCTAACTAAGAACTCAAGGTGGTTGATCAATTCACTTATCTTGCTAACTGCATCAGCAACGATGGGCGCATAGAAACTGACGTCAGCTCACGCATTACAAAGGCCAGAGCTATCTTCTTCAACCTGCGGCATCTTTGACGACGGAAGGGAGTTTCCCTCCATCTGAAACGCCGTGTATACAAGCCCACAGTGAGGAGCGTTCTGCTCTATGGGAGTGCGACTTGGCCCCTTCGGTCTGAAGAGCTGAGGCGCCTTCAAGTCTTTGATAATCGATGCTTACGTAACATTGCTGGTGTCGGATGGTACCAGCGTGTCCGCAATGATGATGTGCGTAGGCGAATACTAGGTAGTGATAATCATGCTAGCTCCCTAGAACAACAGATAACGATGAATAAGTTGCGTTGGCTCGGGCACGTGCTACGTATGCCTGGTCACCGCTTACCTAGGAGGGCATTGTTTAGCTTGCCGGGTGCAGGGTGGTGCAAGGCTCGAGGTGGACAGAACTTGACTTGGCAACGGAAAATGAAGTCACTGACGACCAAACTGGGTGCCGTTAGTCCGTCTACCCTGCCGGGCTGGAGTCCACGTGACTCACCTTGTGCTTGGCTCGAGACTTTACAGGACATGGCTCGCAACCGACACCAGTGGCGCGTCTGCTGCCATCTCTTAGTCGGACTGCCTGTTTAAAGTGTGTTTGATGCTGTTATCTGTGGGGTAATGGCTGATTATGACGCGGGCCAGTGAAAGCCGCAAGGAAACTGTGTCGCCGATGCCGCCTTATCTTTGCACGATAGCCAGCTGTTTGTGACGGTATGTTGACTACACAAGGTGTAGGCGGCTTGACCTTGAATGTTTTCTTGGGGGATTAAAGTTTTCAGCTAAGTCCTCCCCTCTCCCTCTAATAATTCTTGATTTCAAAGGTCCTCTTGGTTGTATGGAACAAAGCATCAGCACAAATTGCTGATATACTGTTGTTGTTGTTGTTGTGGTGGTGGTGGTGGTTGGATAACGTCCAAGAAATGGATATGGAGTCATCAAGAAAACGAGGGGAATTGTAGAAACGTGCAGTTTGACAAAAATAGAACGAAACATTTTTTGTTCGTCATTAGCAAGCTGAACTTTCTCGTTTTTGACATCTTCAAGATTTGAAGTAGTAAATATATGAAGCAATACAATTCTGTACACTGGTTCTGGTTGCGGGTTATGTTTTCAAGCGTGTTAACCCATTAGCACTCCTCATGCCTGGGTTTCCATCCTGGAAGACGTACGGGTCCAACGGCGGCTAGACGCGACGTCAGTGATTTCGTGTGCTGTCGTCAGGTGGAAGGCTGACCACCATGCGGTTGCCTATAGCCAGGACCTTAGCAACCAAATAGAGCGCGGCGCTGTAAACGCTCAGACACCAAATGTAGGACGTGACCAAGCTACCTCAACTGCCGCAGCAAAATCAGTTTATTGAAGGGAATACTCGCATTCCCAAGAAGTCACGCCGAACGTCATATCCGTGAACTTGATGTAGCCACCACACACGAGCGATCCTCCTCAAACAATCGTTGGCGAAGGCAGAAAGATAACGCATGTCTTACCCGCCAAGACTCGCTCCCAAACAACAACAGTGAATGAACAGGTGTACCGTAAACACTGTCCTTTAGAGAGAATTAGACGTCGCGATGACACCACAAGTGCCATAGATTGACAATTACTGACTGGGATAGCGATGCGAGGAGAAACTTCCTTGTTGATAGTGCCTCAAGCAGAAACACAGACGAAACTATCTACCTGTTCAAGTTTTGCATTTTCAAAAATGCACAGGAGCAGGTTGGGGCCCATCTTGGAGCAACACTTTACATGTCGATGGGGCGAAGCATATGCCATACTGAGATGCCTTCAGCGCCAAACAAAAAATAAAAATAATAAATTTGTATATTTACCGGCAGACGGTACACGGCCCCATAAGTGGGAGCGATCATTTGTATAGTGAATACGTTTCATAACATTAAAGAAAAGTTCATTGATAGCATTTCGGATCATGATTATTTTTCCTTGAGTCCTAGGCCCGTGCAACTCATAGGTAAAATTTACGGATGTTTGTATCGTCAGGAGTAGATAATAAAGGGAGGGACTAC